GTATATGTGGGACATATCTCAAATAGTAAAAGCCATCTATGAGAAACCACAGCCAGCATACTCCTAAACAGACAAAAATTTGAACCATTTCCCCTGAAAACTGGAACAAGACATGGATGCCCACTCTCACCCCTCCTGTTCAATATAGTATTTGAAGTCCTGGTTAGAGCAATCAGAGAAGAGAAGGCAATCAGGGGTATCCAAATAGGAAAAAAGGAAGTCAAGTTATCCCTCTTTGCAGATGACATGATTGTGTAACTTGAAAACTCAAGAGAATCTGTCAAAAACCTACTTACACTGATAAAGGACTTTGGCAAAGCCTCAGGATATAAAATAAATGTGCAAAAAACAATCGAATTTCTTTACACCAATAATAAGCAAACAGAAATCCAAATAAATACCACAATTCCATTCACAATGGCCACAAAAAAATGAAATATCTTGGCATCTTCCTAACCAGAAACGTGAAAGACCTTTACATTGAAAACTACAAAACACTGCTCAAAGAAATCAAAGACGACAAAAACAAGTGGAAAAATATCCCATGCTCATGGATTGGAAGAATCAACATTGTGAAGATGTCTACCCTACCTAAGGCAACCTACAGATTTAATGCAATACCCATCAAATTACCAGCAACATTCTTCTCAGACCTAGAAAAAACAACACAAGAATTCATATGGAAACACAAATGTCCAAGAATAGCCAGAACAATCCTCAGCAAAAAAACAAAAGCAAAAGAACAAAAAAAACAAAGCAGGTGGCATCACATTACCAGACTTCAAACATTACTATAAAGCTACAATCATCAAAACAGCTTGGTATTGGTACAGGAACAGGCATATAGACAAATGGAATAGAATTGAGATTCCAGAAGAAAAACCTCAATTTCTAAACCAACTCATCTTCGACAAAACCTCCACCACCTACCACTTGGGAGAGGAGAACCTATTCAGTGAATGCTGCTGGGCAAACTGGCTGACCACATGCAGAAGATTGAACAGGACCCCTATTTATCCCCATGCACAAAGGTTAACTCCAAATGAATCAGAGACCTAAATGTAAAACCTCAAACCGTAAGAACCTTAGAAAATGAAGGAAATACCCTCATGGAAATTGGAACTGGCATCCAATTCCTGAACAAAACCCGAAACCCACAGGTCATAAGAGAGAAGATAGACAAGTGGGACCTTATTAAACTGACAAGCTTCTTCAAAGCCAAAGAAACCATCAAGAGAGCAGGGAGACAGCCTATAGACTGGGAAAAAGTATTTGCCAACACCAGGTCTGACAAAGGCTTAACATCCTGGATCTACAGGGAACTCAAACATGCTGAAAAGAAAAAAACAAACAATCTCATTATAAAATGGACAAAAGATATGAACAGACACTTCACAAAGGAAGACATCCGAGCAGCCAACAGACACATGAAGAAATGTTCAACGTCACTAATCATCAGGTAGATGCAAATCAAAACCACACTGAGATACCACCTCACTCCCATCAGAATGGCAATTATCAACTCTAAAAATAACAGCTGCCCGAGAGGGTGTGGCGAAAAAGGAACACTTCTACACTGTTGGTGGGACTGTGCAACCTCTGTGGGAAGCAGTGTGGCGATTCCTAAAAGCTCTAAATATCAACCTTCTGTATGACCCTGAAATCCCCCTACTGGGAATATACCCTGAAGAACTCAAATCACTCTATAAAAAAGATACCTGCACACGTATGTTTATCGCAGTGTTGTTCACAATAGCAAGAACCTGGAAGCAACCATGCTGCCCATCAAAAGAGGACTGGATTAAAAAAATGTGGTACATATACATGATGAAATACTACACAACCATAAAAAAGAACAAAATCATGAATTTCGCAGCAACCTGGATGGAACTACAGTCTATAATACTGAGTGACCTCTCACAGAAACAAAGTTCCGAGTATCACATGTTCTCACTCATATAATGGACCTTGAACATCCAATGTAATACTATAAGAAAATGACTGATGGTACTGGGAAACT